CCCCCCCCGGGCTCCCCTCTGCCCACACTGGCCACCCCCCTGCCCTCCCGCGTCTGCAGCCCGTCCAGCAGTTCCAGTCAGGGCCTCCCTGGCCGCGGGCTCCACCTTCGGGCCCCAGCCCAGCTCCTCCAGCACCCAGAGAGCCACACTGAGCGCTGGCCTCGGCCCTTGACCCTCCGCCCGGGGCCGTGGGCCCCGTTGGCACCTCCGCTCCACCCCCAGTGGTTCCAAACGGGTCTGCGTCTCCGCACGGGAGCCGGGTGGGGTACACTGTCCCGCAAGGCAGGTGAGTGCATAGACCCCGCGGCTGAGGAAGAAAGGAGGGGGGCACCACTTGGCCATGGTGGGGGGGCACCGGGCGGAACGCGGGCAGCCCTGCAGGCCTCAGACCCCCTAAAACACGCAGCCGGGGGTGGGGCCGGGCTGTTCTGAGGCCCTGATGGAGCTTTACACAGGCCCGGTGACCCCACAGGCCTGGGCCGAGGCCGCTCTCAAGACCTCGGCTTCTCCCTTGTCCTCGGTGTCTGCTTCCCTCACACTCTCCAGCTGCCCAGCCCAGGCCCCTCTGTGCCAGCCTCAGCCTCAGTCTACCCCCGATCCCCTAAGAGGCAGGGTTGGCCCGGGAGCCTCCAAAGCTGAGCCCGGACCAACGCCACAGCCCAGCCAGAAGGAACCCTGCCGGGCGGTGACCAGCCGATGCTCCCCACCCGCGCCGCGCTGGACCCTGACGCCGGGCTGAGACCTCGGGAAGCAGCCCTCCAGGGGCCCAGCCTGCAAGGCGGTGAGACGCCACCCGGGCGCCATGCCTATGCTCTGAGGCCCCGGGAGGCGGGGTGGTGGGGCAGGGAAGGACGTCAGTTTCCAGCTGGACAGTCCCAAATGCAGACGTTCAGGCCCCGGGACTCAAAGTGCCTCGGGATCCGGGGGTGGGTGGACATTCCACGTGGGGGGCGCTCCTCCTGGGCTGAGCCCACTGCTCTAACCGAATGCCTGCCGGGCCGCGTCCCATCCTGCAGAAGGACCCACTGAGGCCCAGAGACACGAGGCTGTGTGTGAGGTCGCTGTACGGTTTCCCGTGGCCACCCTAATAAGTGACCATAGACCTGGAGACTTAACAACACACTTGTTCTCCCCCAGTGCCGGGGCCCAGCAGTCTGCAGTCAGTGTCTGCAGGGGGGGATCCTGCCTTGTCCCTCCCAGCTTCTGGTGGCTCCAGACCCTCTCTGGCTGGTGGCCGCAGCCCTCCGGCCTCTGCCTCCAACTCCCCATGGCCTCTTCTCTCTCTCAAAGGCACATGCATCAGGGGGCCCATCTGGGTAACTGCGATCACCTAATCCAGAGATCCTTAACTACACCTGCAAGGAACCCCTGCAGACTCTCCAAACAAGGGCACATTCACAAGTTCCGGGGGGGCGTACTTTTGGGGTCCACTGGTGAACCCGCTGTAGTGACAACAGGTCCCGCAAAGGCCCCGCCTGGGGAAGCCAGGAGCACAGCTGCCTTGGGCTTCCTGGGCTCTGGAACCCTCCCCACCAGCCTCCACAGAGGCTCCTCGGACCTCTAAGCCAGCCTCCCCCGTAGGGCAGGGCCGGGAGTTCAGCTCTCCCTGCTGCCTCTCCGGCTCACTACCACCTACATACCCCGCTTCGGGATCGCCAGGGCCCCCGGGACCACCCAGCCGTCCCCACGTAGCTATGTGAGGTCAGGGCATCTGACCGCCTTGTGAACCGACGGAGGGTTCCTGGAGTGCTGCCTCTTGTAGCCTCAGCCCCGGGATCAGGAGCCAGTGGGACTCTTAGCGGGGTTCCTTTACGCTGGGCTGTGGCACCGATGCAGGTGCAGCTTGGGAGGCTCCTGGGCCACCCCCACCTCTTAGGGGATCAGGGGTAGACCAAGGCTACTGCGGAGGAGCCTACGCTGAGGCTGAGCTGGTGGGGGACGAGGTGGGACAGGAGCTGAAGGAGAGTGACCGGGGAGGGACAAGGGAGCAGAGGGAAACGGGTCCCCCATCCCATGGCGCTCGCCCCTGCCCTCTGCCCCCAGCTCTCCCCTGTGGACCGCTGGGCCCCCACCCCCACCCCTCGTCCATCCCAGCCTGCGCCTCCCACGCCTCCAGGGCTCCCTTCCGCCAGCCTCTCCTCACATTAATCTCCGCGCAGCTCACTGCTGACCCAAGCGAAACAGAGTTTGCCTTTCCCCTCTCGGCAGTTTTCTGTTGGCAAAGCAAAAAGGATCGAGGCGCGCACTCACCCCCGACCTCCCCGCCCAGGGGGGGCTGCTCTGGAAAATGAGATGTTCCTGCGTGGGCCGCGGGCGCACACCGGACATCCTTACGCACGCATCTCCGAGCCGCTGCACACGCGCTCGCTCCCCACGGGCCCTGCTCTGTGCCAGGAGCCAGGGGCACGGCAGCTCCTGGGTGCTGACCCTCCCCCCAGGCGGGGGTGGGGGCACACGCGTGGGACCCTCACACCAGGTCGCCAAGCCTTCCCAGGTATTCTGGGACTCGGGGGTGGGCTGCTGTGGTCTTTGGCCTGCGGCCCATCTGTGACGCAGACACAGGTGACGTGGTCAAGCCAGAAAGGGAGCTAGAGCCCAGAGGGGGGGCCGTATCGAGGAAGGCCGACGAGGTTCCAGCCGGACTGGCGAGGCCGGGGAGCGCAGGCAGAGGGCAGGAGCGACGCTGGATGACCGGTGTGGGGCAGGAGGGTGGGAAGACACTAGGCTCCTCACACGTCAGAGAAGTGGATGGGCCAGGCAGGCACACGCTGTCCTCACACAGGCACGTGGCCCAACCGGGACAGCCACCACCACCTGAGAAAGGCCTCGGTTGAGGTGGCTCTTGTGGGCGTGACCCTCCCCCCCAGCACACGCAGCAAAGGCCCGGGCCTCCCGGTTTAGCTCCCCGGCTGACACGGCCCTGAGCTGCCGAGGTCCCGGGGTGCAGGCCATGACTGACCATCGGGGCCAAGCTGAAGCTTCTGCTAGGTCCGTGACCTCATTCGCAAGGGCTCCTAGAGCAGGCCTGGGACTCTGCCTGCTTCCAGCTCAGCTGCCTAGCTGGACTAAGGACATGCCGGGGAAACGGGACAGGGAGGTCCGTTCCCGTGTGCCAGGAGGCAGAGGCGAACCGGCAAGGTGTGGGTGGACACAGGGTGGGCCTCTCGAGTGGCCGGAACGTGCGGCTGAGCCTCCTAGCTGGCCCTGTGCGACTCGAGCTGGTCTGTACCTCGCTCAACACCTGCTTTCCCACGTGGAAAAGGGGCTGGTCGCTGCCCGGAGAGGTGAGGCCCCCTCCATGTCTAGCCCTGCCTGGCCCAGGGGTTAGCACTGGGCCCAGCCTGCGCCCCGCAGCCTGGAACTCGACTGTAGGACGGCTGACCAGGGAGGAGCACCTTGCCAGCCAGGCCTCAGAGATGCCCCAGAGCTCCCTCACCTCCACCCGCCTCTGAGGGAGAGGGAGCCTGCTCCCAGCCACCCCTGCCTCCAGCCGAGGAACCCCTGGGCACAGGGCGCTGGAGGGCAGAGACCCGGCAGGCTGTCTGTGGGGGACAGGGGTGCAGTCTTTGGGAAGGGCGCCCCCTCCCCACCAGCCTGGCACAAGAGGCCAGCGGCAGCTTCTGGCCCCCAGCCCGTGCGCCCCTCTTGGGTCCAGCTTGGCGGCCAGAGGCAGGGGAGTCCCAGCGCCCTCCTGGATGAGAACTGCCAGCCCTGTCATCCCCGATTAGCGGGTAATGGCCTCCTTGAAGCACAATTTTATTAATCAAATTAGTAAGCGCCGAGGTGACCTTGGCTGGTTCTGCTGAGAGGGGCGTTCTCCCAGGAGGGGCAGGCGGGTCAGCAGGGACACACCTGGCCGCTCTCAGCCCAGGCTCAGGCTGGTGGGGCCGCCCTCCCCGACCATGAGGTCTTCGAGGCCACCTGCCTATTCGCCCTCAAGGCCACCTGCCTATTCACGCCGGCCCCCACCCTGACGGTAACACGACAGCAGGAGGGAGGCGAGGCCAGTGGGGACCCGCCGAGGGGCGGGACGGCGCCAGCAAGGAGGGGGCGGTCCTGGCCTGCAGGTAGACCTCCCGCAGCCGAGTCCTGCCTGCAGAGGCTGCTCGAGCGGGCGGCGGCCGCCCCCTGGTGGCCATGCGCACTCCCGGCCGCCCCGGCCCCCACGCCCACCCTGCGGCCGCGCCAAGTGGCTGCTCCACGCCTGCCGCCCCCAGCCCTCCCTTCAGGGCCAAGTCCAAACCAGCCCCCCTCGGAGCTTGGCAGAACTGAGCGGGGCGGGGGGGGGGGGGGGGGGTGTGGGGGTGGAGGGCCAGGCCCGGCCCCTGGGGAAGCACGTGAGAGGACCAGACGGCAGCCGCAAGGCCGGTTTGGGATCTATGCCTGGAGTGTGGGACACGGGGAGGGGACAGCAAGAACGGAAGTAGAGGGATCAAGGAAAGGTGTTGCGGGGGTGGGACTGGCTGGGACACTGGCCAGAGGGCAGCCCTGTGGGGTGCCAGGTGGGCTGGGTCAGTGGTGGGGTCCTCGGAAGGGGTCAGGAATGCAAGCTTGGCGCGAGGCTGACCCAGCCCGAAGGTAGGGTGTGGACAGGATGTGGATCGTTGAAGGGCAGAGGCGAAGGGCGAGTGAGGATGTGGGCCACAGCCTGACCGGCCCCGACTCCAAGAAGCAGCTGGACGGCTCCCTTGGCCTGGGACGCTGCCCTACTCAGGTGGGGACGTGGGGCATGTGTGAGGACCGGGCAGCCCAGGGGCCGCATTCTGGCACCTGGGACTCCGTGCGCAGAGCAACCATGACGCCTCCCACGTGTGGGTCCAGCGCCCAGCACCAGGCTCAGACACCTCATCTGACTCGGTCTTTAATGGGCAGCTCTGGGCACCAGGTGGGGCAGCAAACTGGCCCGAAAGTCCTTCAGGATGGAGAGGGCCGTGGGGGGAGCTGGCCCCTCGCCACCACCCTGGGCAGGAGGGGGAGGGCGGCACACAGCTCAGGGGTGTGGGGACAGCCTCCCTCTGGTCTTGCCCCTCTTGGCCTTGCGGCTCCAGCCAAGGAGGGGCCTGGGGCTGGCTCGCCCAGGAGCTGGCGGCCCCCGCCCACACTCCTTCTGGCCCCTCAGAAGCGCCCCCAGGGCCGGCCGGTGCTCCCCCTGCAATCGGGACAGAAATGGGTAACGGTTGGCTCCCTGGGCCTGGCCTGCCTGTGGCCAGGCTGCAGGGTGTGACCCGGGAGGTGGTGGCTGGTGCGTCAGGGGCAAGCTGGGGGTTCTGTAAGGGCAACAGGGCAGCAGCGCCCCGCAGGGGTGCCATGCTGGGGGTGGGGATCCTGAAACGGCTCCTGCAGCGCCGCCCCTGCCCGAGGTCCCCAGGAGTGTGGGCACACGGAGGCCCACCGCGGGGAGGGCTGCGGCCTCGCCCAGGGCAGGGACTAGCCGCCAGGTGGAGACCACGGCACAGACGGCCGCTGCCCAGAAGGCCACGCCAGTGAGGCTCGCCCGCGCGCACGCTCCTCTCGCCGATGCCCTCGCAGTCGCGGGGCGTGCCGGGGCCCGGGGGAAGGCCCTCCCGGGGCCCCTGGGGCTCACCGTGCTGGGTGGCTCTGCCCTGGGCAGCAGCGTGACCACCTGCAGGCTTGCTCCCTCGTCGCCCACGCCCTTCAGCTGCGCCACCACCTCCGCGTGCTTCCACCACTTGCACGGCCGCCCATTCAAGGACACGATGTAGTCACCCTCCCGCAGTCCAGCTGCCTGCAGGGACACGGGGGGGGGGTCCTGAGTCCCACGGGGGCACCCGCCACCCCTGGCCACAGTCCCACCTGCCCCCTTCAACCCCGGGACTCGGCCCCGGCGGGGGGGTGGGGGGGGCAGGGGCCTCACCGCGGCCGGGCCCCCGGGGATGACAGCAGCGATGAGGACGGGCGCATCTCCCCGCAACGTGAGGCCAAAGCCAGCCTCTCCCCGGGTCACGTGGACGGGCCCCACCAGCCGCCAGCAGTTCTTGGCTGAAAACACGGACAGGGGCCCCTGGGGGTGGGGTGAAGGGGCGTCAGAGGCTCAGCCGGGCCACCACAGCACCCCTCACCCCTCGATCTCTACATCTTGGGTCAAAAACCGGGTGTGGCAGAGGGGTGGGGCAGGGCGGGGCTAGGCCACCAGCACCACTTGTCCAGAGTCCTTCCCCAGGACAGGGCTAGGCCGCCTGTGCTGAGGTGGGGACGGGTGACCCTGGCAGGGGTGCTCACCAGCCGGTGGAAGATATCGGTCACCTTCACCCTGGAGAAGCTGGGTGCCCTGATCTCTGGCTTCTGCTGTGTTTTAGCTGAAACGACAGAGTTCAAGGGAAAATGGAACTAGGCCTGAGGCTCAAGGACCCTAGGCCCCTGGGAGGCAGCCAGAGCAGAGCGGGCGGCCCGAGTGCGGCCTGCCGTACGCACACTGGCCCCTCTGCAGACCTCGGGGACCTGGCTGCCCCCCCCCCGCCCCAGGGGGCTCCGGGGCGTCTCGGCTCTCCAGCCATGCCTGCCTGCCCCTGTAAAGCAGGAGATGCTGGGGGGCCGGCCTGTGGTTCCGTCTCCCAGGCCACCGCCTCCCTGGGGCAGGAATCCACTGCGGGGATGGCAAGGCGCGGGAGAGCAGGGGGTGCGCCCGCGTGGGCTCCTTTGAAGGCCCCCCGCTCCGTGGTCCCTGGAGGTGGAGTGGCCTCAACGGCAGCCACAGGTCCTGGGCCCACGGACGCCTGCTGGCTGGACACGCCCGTCCGAGGGGCTGGGCTGCTCACGTGGGATGTCGGGAGCTTCCGTGGCCTCCAAGAAGTCATCCTCTCGGTCGAGCTCCGAGTACCTGGCCAGTGAGCGCCGCAGGGCCTGGGCCAGCACGGCCTGCAGTAGGTCCACGCTCCGCAGGGCACGGCACACGGCGTGCAGCCGCAGGGCCTCCTCTTGGCCCAGGATGGCACGCTTCAGGTGGGCCTTGCCTGCACGGGACAGAGCCGGCACATGCTCCGTGGGGCTCGCCTGGCCCAGGCCAGACCCCAGCTCTCCCCACCCCTGGACGCAGCCAAAGGAGCACAGCTGAGGGCTTCTGGGTCCATCCTGAGGGCCCGCGGGCCACTCGGGGAGGAGCTACCAGGTGCAGAAGGCCGGGCCGGGGAAGAGCTGCCTCCCACGAGGGCCCCCACCCACCCGGGCTACCGGCCTGGCTCAGGCCCTGCCTGGGACTCAGCCGCCAAGGGGACCTCGGGGACGCAAGTTGGCAGCTTGGCAAGTTGCCAGACACCAGACATGCCCGGAAGAGGTGACTCATGAAGGACGGGTCACTCGCCCCCTTCAGCGGGCCCTAGCCCCTCCGCGCCAGGCCGCCTCACCGAGCATCCTGCGCCCCTCCTGCTCCTGGGGTGCGGCGCCCGGGGGCCCAGGTGTGGCTGGGAGCCCAAGGAAGGCCTGTGAGAGTGCTGGGCAGTCCACCTCGGCCGCTGCTGGGGATCAGAGAGGGCCGTGAGCCCCTCCGCACCGGGGCCTCTGCCGGCACACACACGAGGGGCAGGGCACTCACGGGGGCTGTCGCAGAGCACCGCAGCCGCGTGGTAGTGGGCCAGGGCGCGGAAGTACTCAGCCTTGACACGCACCAGGGTGGTCCAGGGGAAGGGCACGTAGTCGCGGACAGGTGGCTGGGCCATGGTCTGGTGCACCAGCCTGTACTCAGCTGCCACCTGCCAGCGCACAGGGTGGGACGCCGGGGCCTCCCCGCCCTGGGCCCCGGCCTCCGCCTGCCCCGGCCTGAGTCCCAGTGGCCCTGCCCTGCACCCCGAGCTGAGGCAAGCTCAGGAATCTGAGCCCCAGGGCCTGCTCTGGCTGGTGCTGCCCCAGTGGCAAGGACTCAGGACCCGGGGGTCCTGACCGGCTCCAAAGACCACGAAAACAGCTGGCTTTGGGAACAAACAGGAGAGAAGCTACTGCCCCCTGCCTCCCCCCCCCCCCCCCCGCCTGGACCCCCGATCCAGACCCTCCTGCTCATCTGGCCACCGTGGCTCAGCTAGGTCTCCTGTGGGACAAGGGCTCCCTGCCCTCACCTGGGCAGCCTCCTGAGCCAGGCGCAGCTGGGCCAGGCAACCCTGGGGGGCTTCGGTGGACGGCAGCAAGAGGCCCTCAAAGATGCATTCTTGGGCCTGGGCGGTCATGAGTCGTTCCAGCATGGAGAGCGAGGCCGGGCTCATGTCGGGGCTGGGTGCTCGGGAAAAGTTCTCCCTCAGGAGGCTGAAGGCCCCTGTGGAGGGCTGGTCACAGGAGAACAGGTTACCTGGCCCCTGCCTCCACCCCCCAGCAGGCCTGTGTGTATCTGCTCTGCCCCACACACTTGGAGGCTAATCACTTCCCCACCCCCCCTCCCAAGACAACCAAAGGCTCTGGGGTTAGGGGCTTGGCTGCTCCTCACCAGCAGCCTCGAAAGCCTGGGATGACATGCACTGGGCAGGATGTCCCTATGGTGCCCTCCCGAAGGTGTAGAGGGCCCCGATGTTGAAAAGCACGCTGCCCTTCAGTGCTGCCAGGCCTGTTGGGCCGGAACCTCGCGGAGTGAGTCATACTCCAAGGGTGGGGTGAGGTGGGGCAGTGAGCCAGGGCTTGGGGAGCCGCCTGGGAGGCTGGGGTGACTTCCCCACTCTACTGAACAGCAGCCCCAGGTTCCTGGTGGGGGCGATGAAGCGTGCGTCCAGGAAGCAGAGCTGGTTGTAGTAGGCCATGAGCAGCTCTAGGCCTGCCTCGCCTCGGCTGGGGGTCCGAATGGCCTGCGGGGCAGGCGCCAGCTGGGCCTCGGTTCCCCAGACCCGTCCCACAGCACACACACTACCCCGGGACCCTTTGGACGTCCCAGCCCAACGGGAGCACCCTGGGTCTAGGGGTGGACAAGGTCCCGAAGCGGCACATCCACCCGGTCTGGGGCTGTCGTGGACCACGCGTGCCACCCCCAGGACACTGAGCACCGCGGAGAGGCCCAGGCGGGGTCCCTGGGGAGGGACAGGCACAGAGCAGCCACTCCCAGGGGGCCAGCGGTATCTGATGAGGACGGAACTTCCCTGGTGTGCGCAGAGCCACGTGTGTGCCCTGGCTGTGTTTGTGTTAATGCACGCTCGGGGTGTGCCTGGCTCCCCATTCTCCCCAGGGCTGCCCCTGGTGGGGACTCCTGCACAGAGCTTGTCTACACTGAGCTCCTTGCCTCTGTCCCTCGCTGAGCCTTGTTTTTCCTTGTGAACTGGGGGTGGTCGGTCTCCGGGGTCTCCGGGGCAGGGAGGGGACAGGAGGAGCCCACTCACCTGCCGCAGGTCCTCCAGCTCCCTGATTTCGGCCTCATAGGAGGCACTGTCCTCTCCAAAGTGCCCAGAGATCAGCTCCTGCTTGGGGGAGGGGCAGGTGCTGGCCTTCCCTGTTCACCCGGCCCAACGTGGAGACGGGTGGTGGAGGCCCCGGGGCCCCTGGAGAAAGGCCGAGGACTGGTGTACATGTGGTGGCGGGTCCCCTCCTCTGGCCTTGGGGTCCCTCCCCCGCAGGTACGGGGTTCAGAGACTCGGTGCTGCTTCTGCTCAGAGTCCTTTCTGAGCCCCTGTAAAGCCCCCCTGACGGGCAAGGGCACTGGGGCCAGGAGCTGAGGCCCCTCTCCGTGCTGCCTGCGGGGCAGCCTAGTTCATGAGCCCCCAGGAGGACCCTGGGAACCGGCAGGTTTTCACAGCGGAGGCTCTGACTGGACGGGGCAGCCCCAGCCAGTGCCGACTCTCAGAGCGACGGTGGGGGAACCCTGTGGCCAGCGTGGGCTTTCAGCAGGATGCCTGACTCTGCCCTATCGGTCCCACGGTGGGCTCTCCTCCAACACCCGTCCAACCAGAATCTCCCACAGCCTGGGCAGGCCCGGCAGCCGGAGTCAGACCCCCCCCCCCTCTGGGCCTGTTCCTCTTCTGTTCAATGCAATGGCTGCACCAGGAAGCCTTGGTGACCCCTTCTGACCCCAGGGCAGGGTGTAATCCTTAGCGCAGGACCACGTCCCACCAGACCCCGGGGCTCACAGGTCAGCACTCACCCTCAAGGGTGTGGACCAGTCCAGCTCCTTGGTCTCCTTCAGCCCCAGGGGGATCATAGGGACACTGACACCTTCGCTGGAACCAGAACCGTTAAGCCCAGATTCTAAGGCTGGACCCTGCCGTGCCCAGTGGCCACCCCCTACTTCTCCAGGCACACATAACCCCCTTTCGCGATTCTGATTCGTGTCTCGCACACACACGGCACAGCACTCAGGTGCCGCCCTGGAGGTGTCTCGCGCGTGCGCACCACGTCCTCCCCCACGCCCACCGGCCCCCGCACATGAGCACACGCACCCCTCCGGCCGGTCCACCTCCGCACTGCCGTTGAGCTCCTCCAGCTCCTCCTTCAGCAGCTGCAGGCTGGAGTTGACGTAGCTCAGCTCCAGGGCCACTGTCTCCCTGACCCAGGCGTTGCTGGTGGCTCTGGGGGAGGGAGGCCAGACTGAGCTGAAGCCCTGCTCTGCAGGCGGACCACGCGCCCCTGGGCCTCGCCGCAGCCCCTGCGCCAGCCTGGGCTCCAGAGTGCTGTGCCCCCAGGCCAGCCCCCATGGAGGGGTGCGGTGCGGTCCCGGGCCCACCCCCTCTTCTCTGAGCCCCCCTGGAGTTCGTGCAAATTCCTGTCCACGTGGATACTTGGTGACTCTGGCCCAGGGCATAGCTCTCGCCTCCCACCACCTCTCTCCTTGGACGCGGGCTCTGGCGCGCCTTCCACAGTGACAAAAAAACAACTTTCCCAAAGGGTGGGAGTCAGCCCTCTCTGTGCCTACATCTGGGCAGCTGGCAGACGAGGCGGTGGGTCCCCAGGAAGGCCAGGTTGAGAGCTGGGGTGGGGTAGACAGGGATGCAGGGCAGCTAAGGAAATGGAGGGGCCCCTTGGGCCCAGCAGAGCTGCATCCTGGAGCCTATCCGCCAGCTCTGTGCACACTGGCTGTGGCTCTGACAGGTGGGACCATCTTCCTGGGCCACCAGCCATGCAGTGGGCTCACGGAGACATGGGTGAAGGTCTGAGCTGATGTGCAGCTCGCTAAGGAGGAGGCACCTCTTCAGCCTGGAGGACGCTTTCCTGGTCCTCAGTCTTTTTTTTTTTAATTTCTTTAATTTTTATTCATTTTTGAGAGACAGACAGAGCACCAGCAGGGGAGGGGCAGAGAAAGAGGGAAATACAGAATCGGAAGCAGGCTCCAGGCTCGGAGCTGTCAGCACAGAGCCCGACGGGGGGCCCGAACCCACGAACCGCGAGATCATGACCTGAGCCGAAGTCAGACGCCCAACCAACTGAGCCACCCAGGTGCCCCCCGGGTCCTCAGTCTTGGGACACCTGTCACAGTTCAGCCTAAACGGTGCCTCTCCTGAGAAAGCCCTGCTGGTCACCACATAAATCACAGGCTCCCACACTGTATACCAGCCCCCCCTCCAGCACCACACGGAACTTGGCTGACCCTGAGCTGACCACTGCCAGTGAGGTCCACCAAGGTAGGGGCCTGGGTTGTCTGGGAGGGTTTCATTTGACCAGCATGGCTGCCCCAGACCCTGGTGGGAGGCCCGGCCCCTCCTCCTGGGAGCCCACAATGGCCATAGTCACCTGCTCACACATCCCTCTCCCAAACCAGACCACATGGTCGGGCACCTGCCTGGATCTCTGCCTGGCTCCCATCACCCCACATGGGCTGGCTTCCAGGGGGCCTCAGGTGACAGCAGCACCACTGTCCTGAGGGATGGGGGCGGTGGCGGGCACTCACCTGTACAGGTTCTCCGCGCCTGTCCGCATCCGCAGCTCCTTATTGATCTGCTGGTGGACCTGGGCCCTGCGGCTCTGCAGGCGGCCGCGCGGTGTCTGTGCCAGGGGGTCACGGCCCTGTGGAGAGGCTGCAGGTCACGGGGGCCAAGCCACGCCTCTGTCAACAGCTCACGAATGCCAGAGGGCTCTCGCGGGTGGGGAAGGCGGCGGTTGGCACAGGTGGGGCCCGAGCCAGCTCCCCAGGCAGCAGTAGGGCCAGGCAGGCCGAGTTGAGGCAGGATCCCGGGATCCCAGAAAGAAGGGGGGGGTGGTCAGGGCAGGAAGCACACAGAAGGCGAGGGACAGGGCTGGACCGGGGCCCCACGAAGAAGCTGGGCCGATCCTGTGGAGCCAGCACCAGTGTGCCGGGGCTCTGGGAGCCCCTGGCGGGAGGTGGCCAACTGCTCGGCACATATCCTTGTGTGCCTTTGAATTTCATTCCATAACCCCCATAATCTACTCTACCCGCACATTTCTAGCATGAGTTCTAGCACGGCCACGGGGGGATGACCCAGCTCCTGCCAAGGTGCTAATGGAAAGGGGCCTGTCCATGGGGTGCTGGAGGCTGGCTTTCAGCGCACCTTGCTCCCCGTGGCGCTCGGCCCACGGTGACCCTGGGATACGTGTCTTGATATGTGATACGAAGGTATCACCCCAGCTGGTTGTTTACGTGTGGGGTCCCTTTGGGCAACTGCTCAAAACCACAGGCCCAGAGTCACTCAACTCCCAGGCAGCAGGCCAGGCCTCCCGACTGCCCACTGGCCACCTCAGGCACCGCTCCTCATTACATGAAACAATCCTGCCAGACTGCCAGTGTCGGGGTCCCAGGCAGGAGAGCTGGGTGTCAACTGAGACCAGAGATGGGGGTTCCCAGCCACAGTGATGCTGCAGCCGGGTGACTAGAGGCTCTGGCCAGGGAAGCCGAGGGGCTTCCGCCAAAGGGGGCTTGGGCGGCTTTCAGGGCTGCAGTGGGACACGCGGCCGTGGCCACCATGCTTCCTCCTAGCCATTTAAGGGCCTTCGTCTGGGACAGTCACCAGCCCTGGAGTTAGGAAGAACTTCCCAGAATGCACCTTCCCTGGGCAATGTCCCCATAGGTGGTCACAGAGCCTGAACAGTGGTAGTGAGGACAGTGCCTCCAGGAAGCTGCCCCAATGGCAGGGACAGGGCTTTATTCAGGCAGTGCTGAGGTCAGGCCCCTTGCAGTGTCCACTGTCTTCCTCATATTTGAGGAAATGTGGCCTATTTTCTTTAATATGCACCCCACCTGCTGGCAGGCAGGGGCAGTTTCAGACCTTTTGGGGGCTATATCTTGTCCCACTCCCTCTATGAAGGCACCCTAAAGGAGGCCTCACAGCCTCTCAAGAGGAAGGCCCCTGGTGCACAATCATCTCAGATTATGGCTCAACACCCCCTCAGATTCCAGCATGGATGGTCAAGAGAGAAGAGAGATCAATCAGGGAGGACCTCCCAGAGGCGGAGACATTCTCCTGGGAGGCCTTCTCGTGATCCTTAGGTAACGGGAGAGGAGGCTTGTTCCAACTGAACAAGAGAGAGAACACTAGATGTGGAGGGCTCCCTGCTCTGGGCCCTTGGGCAGGACCCTCATCTTGTACATCTCAAGGGGGCGCCAAGAAGGAAAAAGACAAAACATGGCCCTCCTCTCTCTGCTCTGCTGTCTGGCTCTCTTCCTGGTGGCCTGTGCCTCTTCTCCACGGTGCATGTCAAGACCGCTCTGTGAATGAGGGAATGAGCCAAGGAGGTGGGCAGTCTCCCCTCCAAGAGGCCTGAGGACCTGGGGAGGGAGGAGCAGGCCACAGCCAAAGCTACATCACTCCCCTTCTGAAGCAAAGCTCCAGCAGGTTCTAGAGGTTCTGGGCCAATAGCCATGCCCATCTGCCCAGGGAGGGGGCTGGTCCCTATGCTGGGCAGAAACCATTAGCTCAGGAGGGCTGTCCTCATCAACACCACTCGTCTGCTCCTCAATGTCAAGTGCTCCTGGAGAGATGTGCTGGAACGGGGAGAATGTAGCCTCGGAGCCCTGCCGCACCTGCACAGGCCTGGTCTGGACGCTGGGACAGCCAGTGGGTGACTCCCAGGGAACACCCAGGCTCCAGGCTGCAGAGAGGGGCAGCCTGAGTGCCCCCTCCTTCCCAGCACAGATTTCGCAGGTGTCCTCTCCCACTCCTTTCCAGAGCTTCCCCACTACTCCTGGAAATGGTCCTTGGTCCAGAGTCAGCGAAGCAGGATTAGGGACCTCAGAGGGGGAGGAGGTGTGTGGGAAGTGAAGAAACGGACAAACTGTCTATCTGTGAAGTCCTCCAGCCATTTCCTGTTCCTGGGAGGCTCCAGCTGCCTGCCGCTGAAAGTTTCGTCAAATACAGAGCTAGGTGCCCAGGGCAAAGCTGAGCAGCCTGGAGAGAGGGAGGGAAAAGCTAGGAAAGGAGGAATGACGGGCACCCGGAACTAGCACAAGGCCACGGGCTGTCACAGACCAGAACCCAACACCTGCGGTGGAACGGGGCCCGGAGCGTCCTCCAGAGCGTGGGAGAAAACGCTGAGCTGGACTCGTCTTCCCACCCTTTGCTAGAAGGCACAGAAGCCCAGCTCAGGCAGGTAACAGGGGCTCGGCCTTTCCACCGAGCCTCAGTCTCCCCAGAGGTCAGCCCAGCTGGCCTCTAGGGGCGAGAGAAGTGGGTTGCTGCCACAAGTCTTGCAGCGCGCTCAGACCTGAGAAGCCAGCGCCGACTCCGGAGCCCCGCGCCCGCCGGCGGCAGGTGGCGGGCAAAAGCGGGCCGGGGGTCCGGGACCCGTCCTCCCGGCGACCCCCGTCCCCGCGGACGCGCCCACCTTGCGAACGCTGCCGGCCGGTTGCAGCCGCGCACTCTCCTCGCCGGAGCCAGGGTCGTCCGTCCTCTCCTCGGGGATCATCGCCGCCCGCCGCTCGGGCCTTGCCCGCCTGGAAGCCGAGGCCGGCACAGGTCCCTCCCGGGCGCCGCGCAGGGTCCCCCACTGTTCTCTCCTCGCGGGTGGCGGGCGCGGGCCGAGCGTGCGAAACTTCCCCTTGCCCAATCGGCGGCCGCGACGACTCCAACGAACAGCAGCGCCAGCCAACCAGAGAGCGAAGAAGGCGGGCCCCGCCGACCAGGCCCCGCCCGCGCGACCGCGGAGTCCCGGGGGAATGCGGTCGCCCCTGGCAACCGCCCGGTCCGACGCCGCGCGGCCGGGCGGGGCGCAGACTGCGCATGCGCCACGGCGTGCGCTCAGCGAGCGGAAAAGTTAGGGAAAAAGGAAAAAAGCAACTCCCCAAAGCGTCCGGCCCGACCTCCCGGGCGCCTGCGTGCTCGGCTCCCTGAGCCGACTCCGCAGGCTTGCACGTCGCCGGCTCGTCCCGCCCCCAAGGCAACAGCGGCCCTCCGAGGAGCCTGTCCAGCGCGTTGGCAGTGGGGGGCTCAACGGGTTCGCTGCAGGAGCGCTGGTGCGAGTCCTCCAGCGACGCCGCTTCCCTCTCCGCTCAGCAGGCGCGGCCCGCCGGCACAGCTCGCTGCCAGAAGCTGCCTTCGAAGCGCTCCCCGGAGCCCGGCCCCCGCAACCTGCTTCCACAAACGACTTCGAGAACCAGCTCGCCTCCAGGACCAGCCTGGCCCGCAGAGACGGCCTGCTTCCGGAGCCTGCCCTCCCTGAGGGCCGGTCCGAGCGGTGTACCTCCACGCGGGGCCCGGGTCACTGTGGGACCCACTCAGAGTTCCTGTGAGGCTCCCCTCACCTAACGACACCCCCTTTGTAGGGGCAGGGACACCGTGCCTAAGCAGGAACCACGCCAGTGTCCCTCGAGGCCCTCCGAAGTTCCAGCCTTCCCGTCCAGGTCCCCGCTGCTGAGCCGCGGGCTCTGTCTCCCCAGCACATGCACGCGCAGGAGCCTGCGGTCCGCAGAGCTAAACCCTGTAACCAGGCCTCTTGGCCTGCCCTGGCCATCTCATGCAACAACAGCAACAAAATAAGGCGGGTGACAACTTGAAGGAATATAATCCTTCAAGTAATCCTAGAATATTACCTGACTCAGCTGTGCATTCTTTTTCATAGCCATCATAATGTAATCAGATGTCCTGGCATCTTGACCCCGGGGCAATTATAACTTGATTCTATCAGGAGGAGAGAGGTGAAGGAGGAGGAAGACAGGCCAAATGGAGAGGACAGGTGGAGATGCTGACATTTCGTCCTCCGAAGTCCCTGAGTGACGCCTAAATCAGGAAACAGTGCTCCAGACGCGGAAGCATGTCGTTCAGAACTGTGGGATTCGGTACCAAATCACCAACTCCAAGAGCCACGAGGGGCTGCGGCGAGAGAGGCAGCAGGGCGCCCCGGAGGCTGCCGTTCTGCTGAGTGGTTCTGGCAGAACCATATGCTTGGTGGAACTGCGCCTTCCATAGCAAAGCATCCCCGAAGCTTGTTTTCTTGGGGGTGCATGCTTAGAAATTGGCAGCCAAGAACATCCAAAGTAAAACATAACCATTTGCAAGTGAAGAGACATTTCAAACAAGGTCTGAACAGAAAGTTAAAGCACAAGCTGCACGTTACAAAGTACCTACAGAGTAAGTAACAGTATATAAAATGTATGGAACAAACCAAAGGAAATTCTGCAAACTTAATTGGGTTTATTGCCTGTACACAGCTGTGTGTGTATATGTGTATGTGCATATACGTACATACATGAAATAAATTAACCAAATCAAAAGACGGTACAAACAGGAAATTACTAAAGATTAAAAGTTGACCTCAGTCATATAGCAAACAAGCTGAGTGTTCGGGGAAAAAACAAAGTTGATAAATCCTTGAGAGGCCCGATCAGCAGCAAGGACAGACTGTATCAACCAGGATCCACTTCTGACTCCATGAGATCAGAACACAGTTGCTTAGCTGTGGACGTTTAGCTGTGTTTAGGGGTGAGATGTTTCTTATTTTTCCCCAGATCATCATTCAGCAAGGGTGGTGGAGGCCCCAGGGTGTGGCCACAGGGTCTCCACTCCCAGGTTCCTCCAGTTTGCTTTCAGCCTCACAACAGAGACCAGTTGTTCCTCCTCAGAGCTCATTTCTGTGTTCCAAGGAGGAAAGCAAAACATTCCCCCAGCTCCCCTAGAACTTGGTCACATGGCCACACCTGCCACAGGGAGGCCAGGAGTTCCAGCTGACACACTGTTGTTCCAAACACAACCAGGCTGTCACTCAGGACCGCGAGCCGTGGCTGCCTCGGAGGGAAAACACAAGTACAGCACATTAAGAAGGGAAAAAGAACACTAACCAAGCCTCAGGGAAGATTTTACAAACTTAGAAAACACCATGAACGTCAACTGCAAGGTCTGGAGAAACGGATGTATCAAGACTTAAACGATCAGAGTTGACCTGAGAAACGGGAGCAGACAAGAAGAGACCAATAGCACAGACTCTAAACTGCTAAAGGGGACACAGACTCTGACAGCCTATCCAGTCTATCCAGTCTGTAGACAGCACGTGTCGCCTGTCAAGGGATGCCGGTGTCCTGGACTCAGCTTGCCAGGCTAAAACGCCAAATCTGATGAAAAGAAACCGCAAGACACCGTGGATGGGTTTCATCAACAAACGTAAGCTGCAGACTTTGTTGATGGCCTGGCCCCACCCGTCGTTGTCGTTGCCGAATCTCGTGTGACCACCTCCTTAGTGAAGCCACGTGCTCCGCGGAAAGATGGCCAGTCTCAGCCCCAGAAGGTGTAGACCACTGGTGTATAAACGAAGGGTACTGGAACCATGACGGTGGGGGAGACACTGTCAGAGGCTGGGGACGTTAAATGTCCTGCAACGCCTGTGCACACCGGTACAGACTCACCGTCCCAGATGCCAGTGGAACATAGTGATCTGCAGAGGTCACCCTAGGACTTCAGCCAGTGATTGATCTGCGCCCATAGGCTTAGGATGCAGTTTTGCCCAGCTGGTCAAGAGGGGAGTCTTCAGGGTACTCCCTGGAGAGGCCCATAGGAGGAAGCTGTCATTACCGGGTGCAACGCCCAGAACCGTGTGGCCATCTTGCGACCGTATGTCCGCAGACATACTGAGGGTGGCAGAGAACTGGGGCCCTGAGACTCCTCTGGTTTCTGATTTGCTGAAATAACCAATCTTCTTTTCAACCCAGTTGCCGCAAGTTGGGCTTCCGGATATTTAAAGCCAAAGGTGTCCTAACTCAACACAGATGTACAACTTGAATGTAAATAACAGCACATCAGGTCTGGCAGTGTGTTCATGTTTAATGCTCCATGACCAAGTAGGTCCCACATTAGGAACCCACCAGCCGGGGTGATCTCACCAACAGATGAGCAGAAGAAAAGCTGTGCAGTAATCTCCATGTGGCCCCTTAAACATCTGAACAATTCAGCCACTATTCTACAAAAAATTCTAAGTAAAACGGGAATGAAAGGGACCGCCTAAATTTGATAGGCAATGCATCAAATGCAGATAATGAGTACATTACATATTGAAATCTTGAAACCGTCGACATTTAAATCAGGAACAAGATACGAATGCCTGCTACTTCCCCCATTCATCTGAGGTTTTTTGAGTTCTCAGTTAAGGAAATAATGCAGTAAAACAAAATCTTAGAGAAAGGAGACACAATTATCTTTATATTCAGAGAACATGGTTGTGTAATTTGAAATACCAAGAAAATCAACTAAAAGAACTATTAAAACTGATTAGAGAATTTGGTAAGGTGGCTAGTTTTTTAAATTTAAGTTTATTTACTTTGAGAGAGCGAGTGTGAGCACGGGAGGGGCAGAGAGAGAGAAAGAGAATCCCAAGTGGACTCGATCTCATGAACCTCGAGATCATGACCTGGGCTGAAATCAGGGTCAATTGCTCGACTGACTGAGCCACCCAGGTGCCCCGGTGAGATATCTAGTTTTAAGCAAACTGTATGTTATGGACTGAATTGTGCCCCCCCCCCCCCATTCATATGTTGAGGCCTGAGCCCCGATGTGACAGTGTTTAGAAGAGGGGTTTGGGGGAGGTGATTAGGGTCAGGTGAGGTTGTGAGGGTGGGGTCCCACAGCAGGATAAGTGCCCTTATAAGAAGAGACACCAGGGGCGCCTGGATGGCTCTGTCGGTTGAGTGTCTGACTTCGGCTCAGGTCATGATCTCACAGCTCGTGAGTTCGAGCCCCACGTCGGGCTCTGTGCTGACAGATCAGAGCCTGGAGCCTGCTTCGGATTCTGTGCCTCCCTCTCTTTCCCCCAACCCACTCACATTCTGTCTCTGTGTCTCTCAAAAATAAACATTAAGAAGAGACACCAGAGTTTGCCCACTTTCTCCAGAAGGCAGGCACACGGTGAGAAGGCAGTTGTGTGCAAACCAGGGAGAGAGCCCTCACCAGGAACTGAATCAGCCAGCACCTTGATCTCAGACTTCCAGCCTCCTCCAGAACTGTGAGAAAATAAACTTCTATTGTTTAAACACCCCAGGTTGTGGTATTTTGTTATAGCAGCCTGAGCAGATTAAGACACTATATAAGGACCAATTGCTTAAAACACATACACACATACAAACACACGCAGCTAGAAATAGAAATCAGGAATATTTTCAGTCACAAATGTGACAAGACTATATGATGTCTAGGAACAAATTTAGTAAGAAAATTACATGATCTACAAGATGTATACAATTTTTACTCAGCAACTTAGAACCAGACTTCAATAGTGGTTGGACATACTGTGCACCTTGATGAAAATACGCACTACTGTAAAAATGTCCCTCTCCTTAAAGGTGGCTTAAAGATTCAGTGTGAACAAGTAAAGTACCAACGATGTTAGAAGAAAAGGGGGATAATTCTAATAATCTCAGGGTTGAAGGAACATTTTACATCAAAACAGAAAATCCAGATACCATAGAGGAGAAGATTCGAAGATGG